AATCATTTGTTCTTCATATTTACCTTAAAGTCAGGATTTTTGTTTTTGTCTACACAAGGTGACACAAACATGGGCCTGCCCTCCACCTCTCGCCTGTCCAGCTTCAGGGCTTCTGGGACACACACTGGGGATTCAAACTGTACATAGCCGTAGCCTTTGAAGTTCCCTTTGTTGCTGAAGACAGGGCGAATCTGTTTGATGGGGCCACAGGTCTCAAACAGCGTCCTGAGCTTTGCGTCTGGCTCCTCCAGCGTGTACGCCAGGTTGCTGATGAAAACGCTGCTTTTATCGTTGCGAAGCTCTGGCTTGTCATCGTTCTGCCTCTGGGCCGGGTCCGCAACTCCCTGCTGGGCCTTTTTAGTGCCAGGTGGAGCAGGCTTGTAGCCAGGGGGGGCGTTCCTCCCAAAGAGCCCAGTCTCTGTCTCCATGTACTCCTCTGTAGCTTGGTCCCCGTTTCCTCTGTGCCTTTTAGGAGCTTGTTCTGTCGCAGAGGGAAAGAAAGATTAGGAAACACTCAAGTGTAATTTTTGTTTAAAAATAAAAGTCATATAAGCGTCGTCATTTACCAGAGTCCTCATTCCACTCATTGTGATAATTATCCTGCCCTGCTCTCCTCTTCTCCCCAGCTCGAGTTCCTTTCTGGACCTTCTTCTGAGACTTCTTGTCTGACTTGGCCTTTCGCCGGTGATCAGCTCTGTCGTCCTCTTGGCGAGCCATGTTGGCTTCTTTCTCAGCCACCTAACAGATGGGCAGAACGTGGTAACATTAGCCAAAAGCAGCTAAATGATACACCTGCCCGGCACAATGCTGATATGTGCGCCTACCTTTGCTCGTTGCTCATTAACTCTGTTCAGCCGGGTCTCTGTCTTCTGCACCGCCAGGTCCCAGTCTTCCAGAGAACCTGCACGCAAAAGTCACTGTAATTCATGAAAATCTGCTTTATCTTTATGTTAACTTTGAGTTTCATATATTGGGACTCTACCTTCCACCCTCTCAAAGGTGAGCAGGACTTCACACACATGCTCAGGGTAGTCTGAGGTGCACTGAACTGCTCTGTGGAGAGCCTTCCGACAGTGAACGGGGTCTCCGTAAGACCTATGGACACAGTAAAACATCAAGGACACCGTATACAAGTCTCGACTACATTATTAATCACCAAGGCATCAGGCGAGGATTGACAGACCTTTCAAGGTTGTAGTACTCCAGCCACATGTTGGCGTACTTGGCATTCCCTTTTGTCATGATATTGTCCCACAGTTCTCTGGCTTTCTGCATGTTCTTGCAGTGGAGGGCCTGGTAGGAAACAATCATGGGATTGTTTTTTTGGGCTCATATAGGTGGCGATTACATTTCTCATAGAACTTTAATCACACATAAAGATTATCACATAAATTTGTTCGAGTTTGGGAAAGGTAAAGTAGTTTAGTAACTGTTCCTTTAGTCTTGTGCTATGTATCTCAATAGTCCTTTAGTAGTGATGTTATTATGCTTCTATGTTGTACCCACTTGAGCTATTACTAAAATGGAAAGGCTCATTGCCTTTGTCCTATGATTCCACATTTAGTTCAGCGGTTACATAATAATAAAATTTTACTTGACACAAAAAAAACTGATGATGGACAATTCAACATGAAATCCCAACTCTTGAAAATGGTCGTCATAGAAACACTGCTTACCTCTATTCTTGCCCAGATCTGCATTATGATACAAGAAGGATCTCCACTTTCACCGAACCCTACAGTAACACAACACAGTAACTTGTGTGAAAAACTAGGAACACAAAAAACCCAAAGACAGATCTCAGTCGGACTCAAATCCACCTACTTTCTTCAACATCCTGTTTCATGTAGTCTAGAGATCGAGAGAAAGCTCCTCGTAACTCCTCTAGCTCTTTACTTGATTCTGCAAGAAAGGAAACAGCAAAAGAGTGGAGCAACAGGGGAATTCAATAGTTTCCTACACAAATACAAATTCTGTTCCTCGCACACACACACACACACACACACACACACACTGCTCTCACCTTTGCTGAAATCCACACGTCTCCTCAGGTAGTCGAGGTATGCTTGCCAAATTTCCACATAATCCGTTGCTTGAATGAAACCTGCATTCAGCGCCTTTTCAAAAACATCTGTGAAGAGGACAAAGAAATTACACGATAAGGGTCAAGCAAGGGATTTGAGATATTTTCCCCCAAAAGAGCACTAGTATCAAACAGACCTTGTAATGGTTTTGCATCTTTTATAGTGTAACAAAATATATGGGTCCATTTCAGTAATGTTTGTCAATACATTAATAACTCTAAAACACACACACTGCATGAAAAGTCCTGATGTCAACAGCTTCACGCTCTCTAGTCGTTACCTGAGACAGTCTGATGGTCAGCTCCATGCCTCTCCAGAGCCAACAAGTAGCTCTTCCACAGACCCATGGTCCAGGGGCAGTTCCTGACAGCACGTTCGTGAGTGGAGAGAACCATGTCTTTGATCTTCAGCTGGCGATCCTGTGGAGAACACAAAAAACTAAATGGTTAAAATAATCTTTAAAAAGCTGAAAGATTTATAGAGAGAGTCGCTACTGTAAAGTATATTAATAAACATTGGTTGGTTTTAGGTGCTGCTGAACACTGAGGACAACCAGCCAAACTGTTAACACTGAAACAGGAATAGTACAGAATCACATTTAACCAAACAGGGATCTGCATCTCCATCCCCGCCAGCAGCAGCACATTCTCAGCCTTTGTTTGATTTCTGCTTTGTTCTCACTTGACAACATTTACAACTCATATGCTCACACCTCCACATTTACATTACTAATGTTACTGACTGACATACTCCACAGTTGTTTAAGTTACTATAATAAATTCACTAATTTCTCGCCATCTATTGCATCCTCCTCTGTATTTGTCATGGCCTAGGAGCTGGGTTACGACAAAACTTAACCACTAAACTGGAAAAAAAAAACTTTAAAATTGAATCAATTTGTCTCTCTCAGATGAGTATAACAATTATCAACATGATGTTTTGATGGTTACTGTTCAAATTTATCGTTTAAAATGTCTAAATACAACGGTTAAAAGACCAATAAATCCGTTTCAAGAAGAGCTGTTGGAGAAATAACTGGCTGTAATCGAGATAAACTCAACGCAGCACTGTGATCACAGTTGTGTGTTCCGTGCTGGCAGACGATGGAGTTGGCAGGTTTGAGGCGCCAAATAAGATCAGTGAGGCTGGGAGGTAATGGCATGTGAAATTAGTCAAAACTCCGCACAGAAAACATAACAGCCTGGTTTGGAGTCCTTTAAAGGACAGCAACACGCCAAACACTGAGCAATACTCACAAGATAGGTGGTGTATTTTGCCCACATGTCTGGCACCAGGCAGTTCTCCCCCAGAGTCCGCTCAAAGGTTATCTGGACCCGAGCCGGGTCGCCCTCCTTTAGTTCAAAGTCGATGTAGGTCTGATACTCAGCCAGCTTAGGAGGTTCTGCTGCCAGCTGCCGCAAGACAACAACATGCAGAGATTATGCATCGCAAAAACTGCACGCATTATTATGAAGTCATAAAAGGAGGACAGCTGTAATGGATAAAATCAATGTGAGTCAGTTACCAGCGACTCCTCAAAAGGTTTGCACTTCTCCATCTGCTGCAGAGCCTTTTTGTACTGATGTATGACCATCTCAGACACCCCTTGTTCGGACCACTCCTCGTACTCTGCGTAGGTGGCTTCCATGTCTACAAAGCAACAGAGCACAACTTCCAGTTTAAAGGCACTTTTCCTTTTTTTAAAACATTATCAATAAGCATACTACCACTAAGTTAGTGCGTTGCAGGAATGTTTTAATGTATACTGCATAATCTCTGTCCCATACTTTAAAGAAGAATTTAATTTAAGAGAGAAGTTAAGGAAGGGTTTCAAACATTATATAAATGCCTCTGCTCTCCATTCAGCTGGAGCAGAAATAAATCAACATAACACTGGACCATCTGGTTATCTCCCATCTACTCCTGCAGCAAACTGAAAGCCTGGTCGAGGCTTGGAGAGGAGGGTTCGCTTTCTAAAACTGTAAGGCATTTCAAAAGCCACATCACAACCGCGCAACACTTGATTTATCCCACAACATCTTTTTACACGGGTTATTTCAGTTTTCGGTTTTTCAGGTGGGACATACGGCCATCACAACAGGACGCCTCCAAATTTACGTCCCGTCTGGACAGAAGAGGCGTCACGCTCACCCATTAAAGGGATGGCCAGCTGGCGGCGGAACAGTGTATGGATTCGCTCAAGCTGAGTGTTCAGCAGCTCCTGCTCCTCGCGGCTGGGAATTCTGCCAGGGGGAGGCTGAAAGGAAACAGCAGAGAAAATGGTGTTAAAATTTAGCAAAGGCAAAGTTTAGTCCAAAGGAATTCAATTCAGCACCTTAAGTATTTGTATTAATTCTGAGTTAAGTGAGAGGATTGCCATTCGAAAGCAGGCTTTAATACAATATTAATTGGACAGACTGATATTGCCTATAACTATACTATACTTGACTACTGTGCTACAGTGAAATATGTCTGTTTATTGGGGGATTATATGTACATTTTTTAGGTCAAATAAATGTTGAAACAAACACTCAAACACGAAACAAAACACCAAGAACTACTACCAGGCATAAAATATGCCTACTACCAGGCATAAAATTATGCCACATCAACCACAAGATGGATTTACTGTAGGTAAAATATGTGTCTAGGTGTTTATCTTGCATTGTCTAACACTGTTTTGTAAATGGGCATATACATGTAATCAAACAGCAAGAAAAACAGAGCACTAATAAGATCAGACCAACCTGTACTGTGGACAGAATGGCGTTCTCAAACTCCCTGTACGCCTCCCACACCGTCTGTCCCTTGGTCATGTGAAGGCCCACAGCTGTCACAGCTCTCTCGAAGATGGATCTCACCTTGTCAATCCCACCTGGGGAGCCCATGCCCCCAATTGAATACTGGGCATACTCAAGCCAGATATCTGGACCTGGGTACAAAAGACACACAGTTAAACGTTAAGATCACGTAAAGACTGAAGGCTCAAACCAAAGGCAATGACAACGGCGCGACGCACTCACAGATATAGTCTTTTGCGGCTCTCTCAAAAAGTTCATACACTTTCTCCCGGTTCGGCTCCTCCTCAGTCAGGCGGATCTCATCCTTGAGCCAATCTAGCCAGATCTCTGCAGGATTCAACAAAACGCGGTTTCAGTTGCAAACAACGCAGAGCTGCAGTTAACAGTTCACTGTATCCGACGTACACCGACCTTCAGTGAGCGGGAAGAGCTCGCTCATCTTCTGCCTCGCCTTCCGCAGCCGTAAAAGCTCTCCCTCCTGCTTCAGTAGTTTGATGAGATCCACATGGCAGTTGTAGTCGAACGCATTGATTGACAGCTGGAACATCGCACAGAGGAAAAAAGAAAGGGAATTAACACAATTAAATATATCCTAATTAACTCGTGCTTCTACTGTATTTGTTAAGCAGTGATTTAGCAACAGATTTTTAACAAATCCTTCACATTATAACCATCACGAAGGTAGGATTTGTTTGTTTGACTTTGTCTTAAAAGGTTCAGTGTGTTAGTGGATGTAGCGGTGTAGCTGCAGATCGCAAATTCCCTCGCTTCACCCTCCCATTTAAAGCGTGAAGGACAAACTACAGTGGCCGTGGCTCAGAGGTACAGCGGGTCGAGCGAAGTATCCTCGAGCAAAATACTGAACCCCGAACTGCTCCCGATGCTGTGTCATCGGTGTGTGAATGTGCATGAATGAGTTAGTTTCTGTGTGAGTGAGTGTGTGTCTGAAAGGGCGAATGTGGCTTGCAGTGTAAAAGTGCTCTGAGTGGCACATACAAGCACAGATCCATTTACAGTTTACGCGCTCGTTCTTCTGTAGAAACATGGCAGTTAAACATAATGGACTCCAGGGAAGGCAGTCGGCAGCAAATGTAGATGTAAACGTCTCATTCTGAGGAAGCAAAATCATCCTGACTCTGAAGTGACTTGTACACTAATGAACACATAGTTATAGCAGGTTATATCCAGTTTCTGCAGTCAGAGTTTATACGTTTGAAAACAATAAACTCTTCATAGTCAAGCACAGATTAAAAAAGGATGACATCTGTTTCTTCCCATGTTGTTACAACTTACACAAAAACGTGATTAAAATATTCTCCTTTTGCTCAGGAAACCCCCCCCTTTACAACTCACTCAAGGACCCCTGTTGGTCCCCGGACCCCTAGTTGGAAAACCACTGTATTAAACTGCATCACTTTTAATTAGATGTCACATAAGTAATGCTGCAGCAGTAACATGTTAAATAAAGTGCGGACAGTGTGCGCTTTGTATCTACACATGCACTCTGCAGGCTGTGATGCTGTGCAAGTCTGCAAAGGTAGTAAAGTTTATAAAAACATTAAAAAAAAAAATAAAATTAAAAAAAAAGGCGCGTGTGACACGAGACGAGTCATTAGCATCGCGCATTAGCAACACCAGCTAATCACGACAGCTAACGTGAATGACGTCGTATCAAACGCGCTCTTTTAATCTCCTTTTGAGTGTTTGGACAGCAGCAGCGGGCATCAACGCCACGTTACCTCTCAGGTAAACGCAGAGCAACAACACGGCGGCTCTCGGCTTCCCTGGGAACCCGCCGCTGACTGTGTTTGCATCCATTCATTCTCGTTAGCTCCTCGGTTAGCTTTAGGTAACTAACCTGCTCCTCCAGCCGCTGGATCTCCGCTTCGTTTTCTTTCTCGTCCTCCGAGGAATCGTCGTCCTCTTCGTCGTCGGAGTTTTCCACTCCCATGCCCTCCTCTTCCTCTTCCTCTTCCCCGTCTCCGTCAGACTCCATCTCCCTCTCCTCCATCCCCGCATCTTCCTCCTCCATGTCTTGCAACTGCGTTTGCTCTGCGCTGCTTGACGCTGCCATGTTGGAAATGCTGTCTGCCCGGTAACAAGCTGAACGAGCCTGTGGGGGCGGAGCCTGTGGAGGGGCGGGGCCTGTGGAGGGGCGGAGTCTGTGGACCGGCTCTCCCAGGACGGCGAGGGGTGGAGCCTGTCTGCGGGCTCTCCCAGGACGGCGAAGTCAAGTCTCTATAAAGGGCTGATCATTAAGTCATTACTAGTGATAATAGTTCCGTAATAATATTACTTTAACCAG